GCCTGCGGCACCGTCGTGCCAACGGCCAACCGCGGCACGCAGGGAGCCAAAGGGCATCAGCCACGGGGCACCAACGCACAGGGCGCTAGCGCGCCAACGACCGACCGCGGTTCGCAGGGGGCCGTGGGGCACTAACGCATACGGCACCAGAGCATAGGGCACCAGAGCATCGGGCACCGGCGGGCAAACGACCGACTGCGGCACTTAGATAGCCACAGGGCGCCTCCCCATAGGGCACCAACCGTCATGCCGACGGCCGACCGCGGCAAGCGGGGAGCCATGCGGCACAAGCGACAGGGCACCGTCGCACAGGGCACCACCCAGCCGACGGCCGACTGCGGCAAGCAGGGCGCCATATGGCACCAATCATAGGCCATCAACTGTAGGCACCAGTGCGTGGGGCATGATCGCGGCAACGGCCGACTGCGGCAAGTAGGAACCCACTGGACACTAACCATATAGGACACTCATGCATAGGGCGCCAGGGCTGACTGCGGCAAGCGGGGAACAGTAGCCCAGATGGCGCCGGCGCGCCAACGGCCGACGGCTGCAAGCCAGGTACCGTATGGCACCAAACATAGCGCCCCAACCATCGAGCCCCAGCGCATAGGCGCCAGCTTTTCAACGGCTGCGGCATGCATGGCAGGGCCCACAGAACTCTGTGTAAGACATGCCTACGTGCAAGCACTGATTGGGGAATCGGCCTTGGATCCTTGGCCGCGATCACTCGTGACTACTGTAAGTTCGTATTCCTGTACGTCCTGGGTTCGCTCGCTTCCGCCTTCGCATATCAATCCGTAAGGGCTTCGCCCCCTGCCGCCGGCCCCCTCTCGGAGAATGGGCCATGGAAGAGCTAAGTCATGAGGCCTTGGCGCTGTCGTGAAGCAGTATCGAAACTTCATGCGAAGCCGAGTCGCAATCAGCAAAACCAAATGATCACAAGAGGGGTTACCACACCTGGCGATTGGTAAGACGTGTATGGTTTAAGGGCTTGGTTACCACACCTTGCGATGAAAGGGCCGAGGGAGTTCTCGCAGTTTGGGTTACCACGCCTTGCGATGGATGTGCGTGATGGGTTCGAATTTCAGAAATGTGGCAAATCCCTGTGTTTTTGGACCCTGACCCCGCGGATCTGCGTGAGGGGTGGCACCGAATTTCAGAAATGTGGCAAATCTCCTGTGTTTGTGGACCCTGACCCCGCGGATCTGCGTGAGGGGTGGCACCGAATTTCAGAAATGTGGCAAATCCCTTGTGTTTTTGGACCCTGACCCCGCGGATCTGCGTGAAGGGTGGCACCGAATTTCAGAAATGTGGCAAATCCTTGTGTTTTTGGACCCTGACCCCGCGGATCTGCGTGAGGGGTGGCACCGAATTTCAGAAATGTAGCAAATCCCTTGTGTTTTTGGACCCTGACCCCGCGGATCTGCGTGAGGGGTGGCACCGAATTTCAGAAATGTGGCAAATCCCTGTGTTTTTGGACCCTGACCCCGCGGATCTGCGTGAGGGGTGGCACCGAATTTCAGAAATGTGGCAAATCCCATGTGTTTTTGGACCCTGACCCCGCGGATCTGCGTGAGGGGTGGCACCGAATTTCAGAAATGTGGCAAATCCCTTGTGTTTTTGGACCCTGACCCCGCGGATCTGCGTGAGGGGTGGCACCTAATTTCAGAAATGTGGCACATCCCTTGTGTTTTTGGACCCTGACCCCGCGGATCTGCGTGAGGGGTGTCGATTTCGCGCCCCCCCAGTAATTCAGACAACGCGCCCAGGGGACGCTGGAAAGTTTTGTTTGGGCCTCCCCCCCCCTCGCGCGGTCAATCAACTAGTTACAGTAACCAGCAAGAAGTCAACTAGTTACAGTAACCAGCAAGAAGCAGAACTGTAACACTGGAAACTAGAAACTACAACTGGTACAGGAAACTGCGAATCACGCGCCTCGCAGCCTGGTGGCCCCACAAGGGGGCCGGCGGATATTCAGATGCAGCTCAAGTCAGGCATGTTGGAATGGTGAGCGAGGATTCAGGAGCGAAGATGATGAGGATGTGGATGCCAAGGAGGACGAGGAGCAGGAGGAGGATGCTGAGGAGTCAGGACAAGAAGGAGGAGGAGGAGGAGGATTAGGAGGAGGAGGAGGAGGATGAGGATGATGATGAGGAGGAGGAGGAGTGACGATTTGTAAGGGGGGTGGGTCCGCTGTCCATCTCTTTCTTATGTGTTCCTCCCCTTGCTGCTGATGCTCTTTCCTCCTGATCCTCCTCTTTCCCTTCCCTTGCCCTCCTCGCTCCTCCTCCTCCTCCTCCTCCTCCTTTTCCTCCTCCTCCTCCTCCTCCTCGCTCCTCGTTCCTCCTCCTCGCCATTTCATCCCCTGGGGACTATTCGGACGCCTCCAGACCCATCGCGACCCCCCCCCCCAAAAGTCTTCCCACCGCCACCCCAGAATGGGGTGAACATCGGCAACACTAAATTGCTCCTCCTCCTGGAGGAGGAGGAGGAGGATGCGGATGAGGATGAGGATGATGATGATGATGATGATGATGATGATGATGATGATGATGATGATGATGATGATGATGAGGAGGAGGAGGAGGAGGAGGAGGAGGAGGAGGAGGAGGGGGAGGAGCGCGCGGGGAGGAGGAGGATCAGAAGGACGGATGACGGGCATGGGGAGTATCATTAGGAGGAGGAGGAGGAGGAGGAGGAGGAGGAGGAGGAGGAGGAGGAATAATCATAATACCAGTACTAGCACTGCTAATATTACGAATATTAAGAACAGTAATCGTATGACTGTAGTAATAACAAGAAACATACCAATAGTCATGATGATAATACTGATACGACTCAGAATACTAACAATACCAATAGTAATAACAGTAGTGCTAACCATACGAATAAGCATACCACTAACAATAACAATGCTAATCCTACGGCTACTAATAAGACGACTACTCATACTATTAAGCACACTCATAGCAAGAGTAATAGTAATAAAAAAACATCACACTAAGAAGAGGAGGAGGATAACGACGAGGAGGAGGAGGAGGAGGAGGAGCATTGCGCAGAGCATTGGAAGGAACATTAGGTGGAGGAGGAGAAGGAGGAGGATGAGGAGGAGGATAAGGAGAAGGAGGAGGAGAAGGAGGAGGAGGAGGAGGAGGATAAGGAGGAGGATGAGGAGGAGGAGGAGGTGGAGTAGGAGGAGCATGAGGCACAAAAGGAGCATGGGAACGGGGGAGAACGAGCAGGATGAGGAGAATGAGGGGGAGGATGAGGACGAGGATGAGGAAGATGATGAGGGTGAGGATGAGGATGAGGATGAGGATGATGATGATGATGATGATGAGGAGGAGGAGGAGGAGGAGGAGGAGGAGGAGGAGGAGGAAGAGGAGGAAGAGGAAGAGGAAGACGAGGAGGAAGAGGGGGAGGATCCGGAGGAGAAGGAGAAGGAGGAG